ACCATTTCAGTTCCAGGGGATGAAAACCTCTGTGGGCGCCAAGCATGCTTTTGGTGCACATACATACATGAAATAAAATGATTCATATAATTTTTTTATTTTTTACTGTATTATCAGTTGAAGTAGTTCATCCTGGAGTGAGGCTCTTATAATTTTTAATTTTTATTTCTCCACCTGTTATAAATATATAAACATTCATATGAGAAAATAATTTTAATTGATAATAAATATTTCATACAATATATCCTGATTTTTCTTTCTCTCCTTTGACTCCTCTCAGTTCCTCCCCAGCTTCCCCTCCTGTCCAGATGAGCCCACTTTATTTCTCTCAATAAAAAACAAACAAGCATCAAAGGGATAATAACAAAATAAGATAAAACAAAAACATAAAAATAAGAATAGGATAAATAAAATAGAAGAAACCAAGAAAAGATACACAAAAAACAGACAGACATAGAGACCCACTTGTTTGCATACTCAGAAATATCATAAAATCACAAAACTGGAAATAATAATATTCAAAAGACCTGCAAAAAATAAAAATAAAACACAAAAATGAAAAAGAGAGAAAGGAATGAAGGAAGGAAAGGGAGGGAGGGAGGGAGGGAAGGAGGGAGGGAGGGAAAAAAAAGTTCGAGCCCTGACTTGACATTATGAGACAAGAAGCCTCCAAAGATGCAGATGAATTCATTTTCTATTGGCCATCTACTGCTGGACATGTGATATACTCTTAAAAGTACTGTTTCCCTCATGGGGACTCCCTTGACAAAAACTAGATTTTCATTTGCAAGCTGTTATCAGTAGGAAGTAACTTCTATGTTAGTGATGGGGACATGAATCATTTCTCCTTTCAGCTCTAGGACTCCACCTAGTGTAGACCTGTGCAGACCCTTTGCATGCTCAGTCCATGAGCTTACGTGTGTGTTGATTCTGTTGTGTTTAGAAGGCCTTGATTTCTTGGTGTCCTTCATCCCCTCTGGCTATTACACTTTCTTTTTCCTCTTCTGTAGGGTTCCCTGAGCCCTAAAGTGAGGGATTTGATGGAGACATCTCATTTAGGGCTGAGTAATCTGATATCTCTCACTCTGGCTTTTGTCAGATGTAAGTTTCTCTATTTCTACCCATCTGCTGCAGGAGGAAGCTTTCTGATGATGACTGATCAAGGAATTGATCTATGAGCATAACGGAATGTAATTTTACTGCTAAGTTCCTTTTGTAGAACAGTAATATTTGGTTTTTCCCTTGGTCCCTAGACTATGTAGACTCAGATTCTTGGTCATTCAAGGAGTGTCAGATATAATTGCCACCTCATGAGTGTGGCTTAAATCAAACCAGATATTGCTTGGTTACTCCCATAGGCTTTATGCCAACATTGCATTGCTGTATTTTGCTGGCTGGACTCCATTGTAGAACAAAGGCTTCTAATTCAGTTGGTGTTTATGTCCCTCCTTTGGTAATATGCAGAGTGCCTTCCAGTAGCATTAACAATAGCCTGTAGGTGTAAAGGTTCTGTGTATGCACTAGCTCTACTTTTGTAATCATATAAGTGCAGCATCAGGTAATGATCAGGTATTCACACAGAAATAATGAAAACAAAAATCAAGAAAAAAAAAACAAATACAATTTACTAGACAAGGTGATGGAGCTTGAAACATTATGAGGTTTTGATGTCAAAGAAAAATTTCTAGGGGGCTAGAGAAATGTCTCTGTGTTTAAGAGCCCTTGTTACTATTGCAGAGGACCCAGGTTTTATAGCCACACTCAAAGGGTAGCTAACAACTCTATGTAACTACAGTCCCAAAAGATCTATTACTATCTTCTGGCCTATACTTATAAAGGATGTAAGTAGTGCAAATACATATCTCATGCAGTGTTCCTATACTTACAAAATAATTATACAAATCTTTTAAAAGGATGATTGTTACATTTTATTTTATTTTATTTTATTTTATTTATTTTTTTTTTTTGGTTTTTCGAGACAGGGTTTCTCTGTGTAGCTTTGCGCCTTTCCTGGAGCTCACTTGGTAGCCCAGGCTGGCCTCGAACTCACAGAGATCCGCCTGGCTCTGCCTCCCGAGTGCTGGGATTAAAGGCGTGCGCCACCACCGCCCGGCGATTGTTACATTTTAAAGGTATAGTATAAATAGAAAATGCCTCCTCTTTTTATAAGCTGAACAATGTATCAGAGTTCAAAAAAAATACACAATGCACGCAATGTGTAATATGGCAACTGTATAGAATGGAGATGAGAAGGAGGAAAAAAAACATGCCTTTTCAGATAAGCTTGCATTGAGGTCAGCCACATGATAGCATGCAGCCACATGGTATGATGGAGGAGATTTAGAGAAAGACTCAGGAAGCCTAAAAGTACCAGGGAGCACAAAGCATCTTTAGGCTCAGGAAAACATCCAAAAGAAAAGTAAAAAGATTACGTCTTTGAATCCAGAAAAGCTGGTAGAGCCACTGAACCTCATGGTGGCTCATAGGGACTACAGTGGGCACTAGGTATTCTGAGAAGGAAAAGCACCTTATCTCCAGGTGAACCTGCTCCTCTATAAATGGTCCCTTAACCATGTGCTTGACCTGCCCACCTAGAGAAACTATTCAGAGGAAAAAAAAGCATGCCTCCACCTAGAGTTAGAGTCTATTTTTTTCCTATGAGAGTCCTTTATCTAAAGAGGTGACCTTAAAATTATTTAGAACATGGAATAAAACTAGAGATTAGATACAACTCATTTATACCCTGAAAATCTAGTGACCCAATTCCAATGATCATCAAAACAGGTCAAAGTCTGAACTGAATTTTAACCCTACTCTCACTTACAGCCCTTAGACAAGGAGGTGACAAGAAACTAGAGTTCCCTTCTGGCAATTGCAGGGCTGAGAACCAGGCACATTTCTGGAACTGCAGATTTTAGATTCCTTCCCCTGAGCTGCCTGTCTTATGTCTATCTCATGTCCTAAACATTCCCTGGTTCTCAAGAGGTAACCCCAACTGCCATTAAGGGACTTAGGGCAATGACTGAAGATGATGTCTTACTGATTAGTGGAGTAATCGATGTGGTAGGGTTACCCATTCAGTAGTCCTTAGTAGAAGCCCCATAATTACATTAGCAGTTCCATTTGTATAATAGCCAGGTGTAAGAGGTAAAGGATATTCATAGCCTATGTGTAGACACAGAGGTGAGATGTCATGGTAATAGTTATTAGAATAATAAGCTGTAGGCATGGAAGACAGAACAGAAGGTTGTTTTAATGTTCAAATCAAATTATTAGAATTTCATTGAGGTCACAAGAACATCCATCCAGCATATTTTTCTATGTTTTTTCCCTTTGATCTTTAAGTTTAGACTAGAGAGCAATGAACCCAGGATATGCTTTCAAAAACATTGATAATTGTTGGAGAAGTTACAATCTCAGTTTGAAGGACCCATTGAGCAGTTTCTCCAATAAACCCCAGGATGTGTCCCAATGTGATGCTATCTTGCAGCACAGGAACAGATTATTTTCTTCTTTCATTACAGAAATAAAAAAAAAGAAAAGGAGTGTTTTAGAGTACTGTCCCACCCATTCAGTGGTCCTTATTGGAGGACCAAAAATTACATCAACAGTTCCATTTGTAAAACAGCAAGGTGTAAGAGTGAAAGGATATTTGAAGTCCATATGTAAACACAGAGGTGAGGTAGATGTCATGGTAATGGTTATTAGAAGAGAAGTTGTAGGCATGGAAGCCAGAAAACAACATATTTTTAATGTTCAAATCAAACTCTATTAGAATTTCCTTGATCTCACAAGAGTCTCTGATGGATTCTTCTCCATTTTTTCTTTGATCTTTAAGTTTGGACTTGAAAGTAATGAATCTAGGATATGCCTTGAAAAACAGTGATAGTTATTGGAGAAGTTACAATCTCAGTTTGAAAGACCTCTTTGGCAATTTCTTCAATAAACCCCAGGGTGGCTTCCAATGTGATACTGTCTAGCAGTTCAGGGACAGGTCATTTTTTCCTCTCATTACTGAAATAAAAGACAGAAAATGAAGTATTATTGGGAATCATGGAGTGTCCCAGTGGAGCCAACATACGTCACCATGGAAATTCCCCCTTGTGGATTTTAGACTCATTAGTAAAATAAATGAAGGTTAGTCTCAAATTAAAACTCAACGACAAATAACTATAGTTCAGAACATTATACGGGTATAGGCAAGGTATAAATCTGGGAGCTGTCCAGAGGAGGAGAGTGAAGAAGAGAAGGGAACAAAATAAAATATGCCGTTTGAGGTGAGACTACCGCAGTCAAAGGGCAGCAGGCAGTGACAGTGAAGGGGGGAACTTCAGAGAGTAAGGAGTCCACAGTACTATGGGGGTGAAAGCATATGTAGGCTGGGGTCAGCGTCCCAAAGAAGGTGACAGAAGAGAAGGACAAAGAATTGTTCCACCCTTCTGAACCACGACTCAAGAAGACACTTGCTCAAACAAGTTCACTGTTGCTCTATTCATAATATCCATTCATTGGGAATAACCTAGATGTCTGTCAATGAGTGAGTGGAAAAAGAAAATGTGGAAAAAAACTTATAGAATGGGATATTACTTGGCTGTTAAAAAATGAAATGATTAAATTTTCAGGTAAATGGATGGAACTAGAAAATAATCAATGTAAGGTGACCCAGTCACAGAAAGACTAACATTTTATGAATGAGTGTATTTGCTTATGTAGATATTAGCTGTTAATTCTTTATTAAGAAGGCTACAATCCATAGAACCACAAAGGTTAGCTACAGAGTGTTGGACCAGGAAGGAGGGATGAATTTCCCTAGGAAAGAGACTTAGAGTAGACAGATATAGATGGATAAAGGGAAGGGGGAATCAGTCTAGGTTCTGTTTTGAGCCTTGGATTCAAGAGCAATGTGAGAGATTAATGTACTCTGACACTCACTTCAATATGGATTAAATTTATTATTTACTTTTGTTGACAGTAATAAAACACAGATTTTATATGACAATTCAAATGAGATTTTATTTAATGAAAGCCCATAATCCAAATAATGAATTAAGGAAACAAAAAAAGACAAAAAAAAAGATGAGAAGGTCAACTTGAACATTCTCCCCTGCCACACACACACACAGGCCACATTTGCCATCATTTTGAGTATCTTTGCTGGAGTTTCAAGGTGGTATAAGATAGCAATTTACTTTTAAATTTTGGAACGGGGTGTCTTGCCTATGGCTAAATTTGAAGAAAGGAAAATTGTGCCACTGAAGAGAAATAAAACAACAGATATAATTGCCAGAGCCATGGCACTGCCCATCTTCTGAGTGTCAGGGTGGGAAGGCATATTGAAAGATGGTGGAAAGGCAACCCCCCATTTGCGAATGGTGGATATGTAATTTAATAAAACGGCAAAGTAAATAAAGCTGCTAGCGTTGATATTCAGAATCCCTGAAAGGCTGAATGGATTGCAGATGGAATTCCGCCATACTCTTCCCATAAACATGGTCCAAAGAGCAATAATAGTGGTGATTTTCCCAAAGAGCCCAAGCAAGCTAGACACCAGCAGCAGGTGCTGGTTTATTCGAATATACAGTGGAACAAAGGAGTCATGGTAGTTGTATTGATGACATATTCTGATGTTGCTGGAATTGTTGCCATTGTGGAGAACACAGGCTCTCCATATGCCCACAAAAGCTACTGTAGGCTTGAAAGTCATAGGATCTTCATAGTGCCATATTTGCCACTGAGGGAGCCTCATGGAGATGCAGCAAAGTATCCAGGCCATGATGGTCAAAGCAAAACCTCCCATTTGGCGATTGTAGTTTCTCATCAACATGATGATGACAGCAAATACTCGAGAACTGCAAAGATATACAGGACAAGATAAAGACAGTTATTCAAGACTATGACAGTGTACTTGAGTTTACAGCACTTGGAGAAAAGCATTATGTTTGACAGAATGGGCCTTGGCCTGAACATCTGCTCACTTGGATGTGGTATGAGAAAAGGAGAAATTGATCATGAGCCACGAACAAGACAAAGAACAGCTAATTCAGAAGCTTACTTGTGAAAAACATGAAGCTATTCAAACTGCGCTAGATGAATTTAAATTGGAGGGAGAACTTGTTGACAAAGAGTTATTAGAAAAAATTAAACATCTTGAGAATCAAATAGCCAAAAGTCCTGCCTTTGAATCATCCAGAGAAGATTCCTCAAGCTTAGTTGCTGAACTTCAAGAGAAGCTTCAGTAAGAAAAAGCTAAGGTTTTAGAACAGCTTGAAGAATAAGAAAAAAGAAAGAATGAAGAAATGCAAAATGTTCAAACATCTTTGATTGCTGAACAACAGACCAGTTTTAACAGTTTTAACAAGAGAGAAAATGAGGAAAGAAAACATTATAAATGATCTTAGTGATACGTTTAAAAGTACAAAGCAACAACAAGAGCATGATAAAGACTTGATAGAGTCGCTTTCTGAAGATTGAGCTCATTTGCTTGAAGAAAAGGAAAAAAAAACTTGAAGAAGTGAGTAAACTGCGTGCTAGTTTTATTCCTTTGGCACCTCTGGTTGCAGCCCCAGAGCTTTATGGAGCTCGTGCACCTGAGCTCCTACGTGAGACAGGGAGATCAGCCGTAGGAACAGCAGATGAAGGAAAAGTGGACTTGGCAATGGAGACAAGCATGACGTCTGTCCAAGAAAACCTGCTATCTGAAGAAAAACAGAGGATCATGCCTCTAGAACGGACATTGCAGTTGAAAGAAGAAGAAAACAAGCGGTTAAATCAAAGACTGATGTCTCAGAGCATGTCTTCAGTGTCTTCATGGCATTCTGAAAAAAATAGTCATTCGAGATTTTCAGGTGGGAGATTTGGTTCTCATCCTAGATGAGCAGCATGACAATTATGTGTTGTTAGTCCTACTTTGTATTATCTGCATTCAGAGTCTCTTCCTGCCCTGGACCTCAAACCAGGAGAGGGAGCTTCACGTGCACCTAAAAGACCATGGGTACTTGGAAAAGTAATGGAAAAGGAATATTGTCAAGCCAAAAAGGCACAAAACAGATTTAAAGTTCCTTTGGGGACAAAGTTTTACAGAGTGAAAACTGTTCTGGAATAAAAAAGTATAGTCAGAGAAGAAATCTATATCTGATACCATTTTTCTGATTTGTCCTCTAGTGCTAATAAATCACTCCAAAACAACATCCTTTTTACAAAAGTCAACATGACAGTACACTTCATTGGTGGACTGAACTTACCTTTTAAGTGGATACGTCTTAGGAACAATAAATTCATCAAAATTCTTGACTGAATCGAAATGTTTTTCTTTCCTCCCAAATAACTAGAAATGTGGAACAAACTAGTTAATGTTCTTTAAGGGCAAAGCCTGCACTGTGCTTGTGACTAGCCTCATTACTTGCCTGTTAATAAATATTAGCTGAATAGATACCAGTGTTTAATGAATTCTTAATTCATGGTTGAGCTTCAAAAAAGATATTCATTGTACATTAACTTTTAGAGGTCATTAAAATAATAAAATAGTGTACTTTAAAGGACCTGTACAATTTTAAGACAATAAAGAATTAAAAATGTAAATATGTGTGCCTTTTGAAGGTTACATTTTTTAATCTATTTGCATGATTGCTGGGAAGGGTGAAAAAATTGTTCTGTATCAAAGAGAAACATGTTTATTACAAAAATGTTGTTTGTATCCTATGTAACAGTGAAGTGGTGTTCTGTGGAAGAGAACCATGTAAACTCAGACTTTAGAAGCTGGCACTGAGCAAATGTGCTGGAGTAGCTACTTAATTGGAAATACCAGACACATGGTTTTGGATTTAGAGTCAAGAGAGATACAGGAAAGGGGTTGTGGAATCTCCCACACGGTTAAAAAAAGCCAGCAAAGCATGTTCTGTGGCAGGAGTATCCCTGCATGGAGCTCCAGAGGGGCCACTTTGTGAAGCTGTGAAAGTGAAACCTGGCATGCACTGAAGACCCCAAAATGTTGGAGATGAAAAGCCATGTGATACCTGCCAAGAACTGCAGACAAGCTAGGAAACCAGCCCAAGACAGAGACCTGAGTTGCAGACAATAAGGCTGGAAAGGAAGAGTCATCTATATCCTCTGCCATAGGACATAGAGAGACATGACTTGGAATTATCCTGATGATTTTTTTGTCTTGGATTGGTCCAGTATTTCCCCACTAGGCCCTTTTTCTTCTAATTTGGAATAGTAATACATATTCTATGCCACTGTATATTGGAATTATGTGATTTAATTTTTGATTTTTATATGTGGTTTCAGTTAAGAAATTGCCTTGAGTCTCAGGAGAAACTTTGCTCTTTGAGACAGTATTGAGCCTAGGGAAGGACTACAGGAACTTTGGAAGCTGAATGGAATGCATTTTGCATTTTGAGAATGCTACAAATCCTATGGAGGCCAGGGAATTAGTGTACTAATGTGAAACAGAAGTACCCTCTTATGTTCATATGTATGAATGCTTCATCACTAGATAGTAGAATTGTTTGAGAAGGATTAGAAGGTGTGACCTTGTTGAAGGCAGTGTGTCACTGTGGTGGACTTTGAGATTTTAAAAACTCATACAAGGCCCAGGCTCCCTTTCTCTCCCTTTCCCTCTCTCTTTTTCTCTCTTTTGCTCATTCATTCTCTCTCTCTCCCTTTCCCTCTTTCCTTGCAATTTGTGGATCAGGTGTGAGTTCTCAGCTATGGATTCATTGCTTGCTACCATGATATTACAGAGCAATCCTCTAAAACTGTAGGCAAGTCTCCAATTAAATGCTTACATTCATAAGAGTTGCCTTGACCAATATATCTCCACAGTAATAGAACAGTAAATAAGACAGAAGTTATCTCAAATACCATGGGATTCTGCTAAGGAAGTCTAGGGGGTTCAACCCCACAGAGTCAAAAAACGTAATGATGGTTGCTAGGGCCCAGAGCATGGAGAAATAAGAGGTGACATTTGATAATTATAGAATTTAGCTAGAGAAGATAGAAAGTTTTGAAGGTTTCCCAACACAGCCGTGTATGATCTTTCTGTTGTGGAACTATACACTCAAAATGGTCAGTGGTGAATTTTGATAGGAATAAATTTTTAACCTCATTATTTAGAGTACACAATAAAGATAGATGGAAGCTCTACTAACCAGAGATGCTGCCGTCAAGTGAACTGATGGTAGGTGATGTAACAGGACAGCCAGCTTTAGAGACCAGTGGAGCTGACAAGGAATCTGCTCCTCTCATGTGTCTTCTGAGGCTTCTTGCTGACTTCACAGTGAGCTCTGGGCTCTTGGCCTTTTATTGGCTACTTCTAGTTCTAAGAATTCTATTGTGTCATCAAATTCCAAGCCTCACTTGATCTCACCTACCTGTTTTCTGTCACTAATGTTTGAGTCTTGACACTGTTGGTGGGGTGGGGGGAGACTGTGGCATTGTCTGTGCTCTCTTTTGTGATGTACTTTCTTGTCAACATTTGCAGGATTTGCTGTTTACCAATGGGATTCCCTCTTCGTGGTCTTTATATACCTGACTGATTCAGACCTATCATCAGTTGCTTTCCCTTTCTCCCTCTTTGAAGAATAGTTTCTATCCTCTGTCATTGGAGGAGATGATACTTTAGAAAATTCATTGCCACTTAGAGATGCATTTTATGTTGGAAGTATGTGGTTTGCTTTTTGAATGTACATTGGGTTACACTTAGGAGATTATCTTGAGAATTGGGAAAGACTATGATCTTTGAGACCTTGTTGAGATTGTAAAGATATCCAGGGACTTTTGAAGTTGGATGAAATGCATTAAGCCTCATTATATTGTTGCAAAGCTCATGGAAGTCAGGGAGTGGAATGTAGTGGTGTGAATGAGAATGGCCACCATAGGCTCATGTGTAGAAATGCTTTGTCCCTAGTTATTGGAATAACAGATTTGGTATCAATGTTCAAAGAAGTACCCAGCTAATACATCAGAGATGTGTAGAAAGGTCCAGGTGAATTTTACAGTCAATGAGAATATAGCTGCAATGAAAGGGAAAAACTCCTCAAATATATTTACAAATTACAATGAATAAACAATTATAGTTTGTGGTATAGAGTATTATAGAGCAACTTTGCATTGCATTGAAATATACTGGGGCCCCAGGTTCCAGCTGCCTCACTCTCCTCTCCTTGCCTCAGCCTCTGCTCTTTCTTGCCATGCTCTCCATCCATGTCTTGCTCGCCACCATCACAAACCAGCAGCAGCTGAAGGTGTTGCCATTGAAGCAACTCAGCCTGGCTGACAAGGAGAACATGCCCCTGATCCTCAGTGCGACCCGTGTCCTGGCCAGCAAGGAAGTGAGGAGAATCTTATCGGACCAGGCCGAACTGAAAAGTAAAGTATCTACTAACCCCAGCGTTGAGGATGAAACGTTGGAAGAAAACCCCCACTGCTTTGTCATCTTTCCCATCAAATACCATGATATCTGGCAGATGTACAAGAAAGATGAGGCCTCCTTTTGGACGGCTGAGGAGGTGGACCTTTCCAAGGATATTCAGTACTGGGAAGCTCTGAAACCCAGTGAGAGACATGTTATACCTCATGTTCGGGCTTTCTTTGCAGCAAGTGACAGCATAGTCAATGAGAACTTGGTGAAACTATTCAGCCAAGAAGTTCAAGTCACAGAGGTCCGCTGTTTCTATGGCTTCCAAATTGGCATAGAAAATATACATTCTGAAATGTACAGTCTCCTTATTGACACATTAAAGATTCCAAGGAGAGGGAGTATCTCTTCAATGCTATTGAAAAGATGCCTTGCGTTGCACTGGGGACAAAGGGGCTACATATGGAGAATGTGTTGTGGCCTTTGCCGCCGTGGAAGGCATCTTCTTTTCTGGTTCTTTTGCATCAATATTCTGGCTGAAGAAGCGGGGACTTATGCCCGGCCTTACATTTTCCAATGAGCTTATCAGCAGAGATGAGGGCTTACATTGTGACTTTGCCTGCCTGATGTTCAAGCACCTGGTACACAAGCCATAGGAGCAGAGAGTAAGTAAAATAATTATGAATGCCATGAGGATAGAGCAGGAGTTCCTCACGGAGGCCTTGCCTGTGAAGCTTATCGGGATGAACCGCAATCTGATGAAGCAGTACATTGAATTTGTGGTGGACAGGCTGATGCTGGAGCTGGGGTTTAACAAGATTTTCAAAGTAGAAAATTCATTTGACTTCATGGAAAATATTTCACTAGAACGAAAGACAAACTTCTTTGAGAAGCCAGTGGGCGAGTACCAATGGGGGCGATATCGAATTCAACAGAGAATTCTTTTACCTTGGATACTGATTTCTAAGTAAACTGACTGTGCTCTTTGCTGATTTTCCTCCCCATGTCATAAAAAAAATCAGCAAAAAGACAATCAACTGGCTATACCATAAACTGTCATTAAATTTGTTAACCGGTCAGTGTCCAAAAACTGTGTGGCTACCTCAGTCGGTGCTTTTTTTGCTAGTTGGGTCACTAGAAGAAGAAAGGAAGTTTAACAACAAAAGGTACTTGATTTCTTATGGGAGATCCTGCCCTTGGTCACTTTTGGCCTCAAAGCACCACCAGCATTGATCTAGGCTTTATGAGAGGCCACCCTCCAGCAAGTAGGATTTAAACATTTAGTTGGCACAAGGCCATTTAAAGATGTCAGCCACATTCACTGCTTCCTGAGGACTCCATAGAGTTTACTTAAGTTTGTAAATAAAACCGGCATTTTGCACACAGTCAAGGAGGAAAGCCTGGTTTATTTCGTTTCTAGACCAAGCACCAAGTGTTCTATTTACCACTGATGGCAGCTGATTAAAAAGTGACTAAGGGGCTGGAGAGATGGCTCAGAGGTTAAGAGCACCAACTGCTCTTCCAGAGGTCCTGAGTTCAATTCCCAGCAACCACATGGTGGCTCACAACCATCTGTAATGAGATCTGGTGCCCTCTTCTGGTCATACATGCTGTATACAAAATAAAATATCTTAAAAAAAAAAGTGACTAAGAAGTTAGTGTTGGGTAAGCATGTCATTTCCAAGCTTTGTATTCTTCAGTGACTTCAAATGCTTTTTCATCATCTTTGAAGTCAATCCTGTGCAATCTAGGCATTAGCCTGCTGGTGCTAGTCATGTACAGGGTGTATGTTACCCCAGAGACCAGGATATCTGCTTCATATAACTTTCAACTTTGAGTCACTAGAAACTTAGGTGTGATTTGGGACACTTGCTGGTGTCTTGTACCAGTCTTCCTTTGTGTGAAAAACAGTATCTTTCTTTTTCCAAGTAATACTTTGCCCCATTTCTATTTAGTGTGGAGTCCTGAAAGGGCTTCCTAGGTAGTATTTTCAATAGTGACACACACACACACTCTTGATTTTTGTCAGTAGTAAAGCTGTGGATGAAATCAGCTATCCTAAAAGATCCAGGAGACTTTTGATTGTGCGAACAGGTACTGTTAAAATTTAATCCACTTATTAACTGACTAGGCCTGGAACTTGCTGTGTAGACCAGGTTAGTCTGTTAAACTTGCCGATGTTTCCCAAACACTGGGTTTACCTGGTGAATTCCTAAACACCAGAAACCAGTAATACATGGGCTGTTAATGTGTGTTCCACTCAGATTGTCAGACTGAAATGCAGACCAGTAGATGCAGCTAACAGCTAGTGCAAATTAATCTGCTTTTATGTGCATTGATCTGCTTTGTGTTTAGGAATAATCTAGAATTCACCTAGTGAGTTTGAGAGGCTGGTTAGGGGTACATAAGTGTAATTGTCATACATCAAAACAGCACAAGCAAGTGTGTTTGTTAACTGGTGTGTATCAGCTGTTTGATCCCTGGTCCCATTTCTTTATTGTTTTGTACTATGAGATAGTTTCTGTTTTAAATTATTGTTACTTGAAATTAATAAAAAAAAGTTTCAAAATTAAAAAAAAAGAAATATACTGAAAGAAAGTTTTTCATATTGCTTAGTGAAATGTAGATATTCAAAATGTGTCTATTTGGGGCTGGAGAGATAGCTTAGAAATTAGGAGCATTTGCCTCTCTTCTAGAGGATTTGATTTTAGTTCTAAACTCCCATGTCACACAGCTCACAACTACCTCTAACTCCTGCTCTTGGATATCCAACTCTCTCCTCAGGTCTCTGAAAGTATATCCACATACATGGCATATACCCACATCAACACACATACCTACACATAACTTTAAAAATTTAGGGGCTAGAGAAATATCTTAGAAGTTAATAGCATCTGCTTTCCTTGGTATCTGGTTTCAATTCCTAACACTGACAAGGCATCTATACCAATATCTGTATCTCCATTTCAAAGGGATCCTTTTGGGATAATCTTTTTGCACATTGTGAAGATGTGTCTCTGTTTTGCCTCACCTGCCTAAGATTCCAATTGGTTCAATAAAGAGCTGAATGGCCAATAGCTAGGCAGGAAGAGGATAGGTAGAACTTCTGAACAGAGATAGGAACTCGGGGAGAGAATCTGAGGAGGGGAGTTTTGCCAGCCAGACGCCAAGGAAGTTGGACATATGATACTGAAGAGAGGTAATGAGCCACATGACAGAACATAGATTAATATAAATGGGTTAATTAAAGTTTTAAGAGCTTGATGGGAAGAATACTAAACTAAAACTAAGATTTAATAATAAAAAATCTCTGTCATTACTTGGGAGCTGGCAGTCCTAAGAAAGTCCGAGTATATGATCCAATGCCCTCCTCTGGCCTTCAGGGGTGTCTGGATAAGTGGTGCACAGATACGCATACAGTCAACATAACAATGCAAAGAAAAATATATTTTTAAATGTTATTCTTTAAAAAAACGTCACATTAGTATAGCCATGTTTTTAATTCTACCATAAAGAAGAGATGTACATAGAAAATGATGTAAAGGTTGAAATAAAGTGATGGATTAAATAGCAATATAATTTTTTATTTGTCTTTGTTCATGATTTTTGAGGCAATCTCACCATATAGCTTGAGGATGTGACATTCCTTACTCCCCTCTAGAAGGTAGGGATTTTAGGCATGTCCCATCATATTCTTTTTTTAAATTTATTTAATTTTAAAGAAGTATTTTTTTTCATTTTACATACCAACCCCACTTTCCCCTCCTTTCCCTTTCCTGTCCCCCCATCTGTAGCTGGAGTTTTCCTGTGTCCCACCTGGTCCACAGCCGCTCAGACCTAAATAAACACACAGAGGCTTATATTAATTAAAACTGCTCAGGCCTACTACTGACTAGCTCTTACATTTAAACTAACCCATAATTCTTATT